TTTATAATTATTCATGCAGTATTTGTGGAGAAAATACTAAGGGTTCAACCAGATGTGAAAAAGATCTATCTTCTTTTAAGAGCTTCCAATACCAACTCAGCCACGAATCGCATGCACAATGAGGTTTATATTTCACTACCATTATTATTACAAAAAATGCTATTGCATTTTCATATACTTTGGAATTACTGGTCAAATAATTTTATTAATATATTTTCATAAAACTTAAGATCCTCGGAAAGGAGTTGTTCAGAGTTCTCAGGGACAAACATGGTGCGGATTTTGATTCCTTTGTATCGCAAAAAGTTGCGGCTGTCGCGGGAGATGTAACTTCTGAAAACCTTGGAGTGAAAGACTTCAAATTGACGGAAGAAATGTGCAATGAAACAGAAATCATACTTAATTCTGCTGCAACGACCAACTTTGATGAAAGGTAATATATGCAATATTTGTAACATATAATTCTCTTCAATTAATCAAAATTAACCTGTTCATATATTTGTGTGCAGATATGATATTGCGCTGGACGTCAATACATTTGGAATTCTGCATGTGGTGAGCTTTGCAAAGAAATGTTTAAAGCTAGAGATGCTTCTCCACGTATCAACTGGTTGGCTTTTGTTAAAGTTTTCTTTGACTAAATTTGTCTTCTTTCTTATATATATATACAGTCCCCATCTATTAAATGGATTTTTCAAATAATTTTATTTGAGGAACACCCTTTAGGGTTTCTTATGAATTTGTTTTCAATGATCCAAACATCTATTTTTTAAGACTATATTCCTTGATCATCTTTGCAAAAAATTGTGTCCTATAAAATCAATGAACATGTTACTTTAAGAAAGTACTACAATTTCAATAACTCAATTGAGTAATCAAATGACATCGGATTGAAATGATTTTTTGTAGAGATGATCTTTGAATGATTATCTAAAAAATAGATTGTTTGGATTAGTGAAACACAATGTGGAGTGGGCCCTACAAGAGTGTCCCTCAACTAAAGCTCTGTGTGTGTGTGTGTGTGTGTGTACAGGAAGTTTCAATTGAGGGATCCCTCAAATAAGCTTATTTGAGTGTGTGTGTGTGTGTGTGTGTGTGTGTGTGTGTGTGTGTACAAGAAGCTTCAATTGAGGGATCCCTCAAATAAGTTTATTTGAGAGACACCCTTGTATGGCCCACTCCGTATTGTATTTCACTATTCAAACGTATATTTTGTAGATATTCATTCAAAGATCATCTCTACAAAAAATCAATTGAATCCGATATCATTTGATCAATCAATTGGATATTGAAATTTTAGTACTTTCTTGGAGCACCGTGTTCATTGATTTTGTATGATACAATTAGATGTCGAAATAGTTTCCAATTTGTCTAATTTTTTGCAAGGATGATCTATAAATGTAGACTTAAAAATTAAATGGTTTGGATTGTTAAAAAAAATTCGTAGGGGATCCTAAAGGGTGTCCCTCAAATAAAATTATTTTATGAATCCCTTAATAGAAGGAGACTGTATATATATGTAACCTAGACTATCCTAGTCTAATTAAACTAGAGCTTGATGAATTACATGTGCAATTACAAAGTTGTCAAGGAAAGCTAAAAGTCTTAACTAAACATAACCTAACATATATATATATATATATATAGTTATTCTCTCATCTGGATGTCTGCACGTTATTACCATGAGGATGCCATTGTAATCAGGGAGGAAAGCAGGGAGATGTAGTTGAAAATACATGGCGTCCACACGGTAATAACGTCCGGTCGTCAGCATAGGAGAATTTGTGTATATATATATTGGTTTTGATGTCTTTGGATTTGGTTAACTGATATGTATATTTTCCAGCTTATGTGTGTGGTGAGAGGGTAGGACTCATACCAGAGGACTCACCTTCATTAATGGATGACATAGTAAAGAAAACCATCAAATTTGATTTCAAAGCACAAGAAAAGATCGTCGTGGAGAAGAAATTGACTGAACTAAAAGCACGAGGTGCTTCAGAAGAAGATATTACAAGCACAATGAAGGATTTTGGCATTGAAAGGTATTGATATATCTAATTGTCCACTATGAAAAGATTTTGGCATTCATCTTTCTATTTGGCCTAATTTTCCCGGGCTGAATCAAAAGGAAAAATTAGGCTGACATTATTAACAATATTTCTACATATATTGTGCCTTTGGAATTAAATTTTTCTCTCATGCTAATTACTATTTGTCTTTCTTTTATACAAAAATAATTAGGGCTAAACATTATGGATGGCCAAACACCTATGTATTTACAAAGGCGATGGGAGAAGTATTTCTGGGGCGCTCAAAAGATGAGCTTCCTGTAGTTATCATTCGCCCAACTGTGGTTACCAGCACTTACAAAGAGCCATTTCCAGGTTGGATTCAAGGTTTTAGGTAATGAGCTCTGCCTGCACCTACAAATTTTACGTTCTGAACTATCATTAACCCTACAATTTACTACGTAAGAAAATAATATTCTTCTAAATTCCGAATTTGGTCAACTAAGACTTTGATTTACGTCTATATTTATCTTCATAGTCTTTTTAACGTAAGTAGTATTCTCTCTCCATAAAAAAAATAAAATAATAAAAAAAATAAGTATTCTCTTACCAAATTTATATTGTCATACAAATTCTTATGTTGCTAGATTTTGAGTATGAACCATAATTGGTGCAAATATACCAACTAAATTTGTATATATATATGTGTTTATTCTTGGTGATTACAGAACCATTGATAGCGTAATTGCCGGTTATTGTAAGGGGAAGCTCACATGCCTACTTGCTGATCCTTCGACAGTATTTGATATGGTGAGTTTACACTCATATCCCTATGTGTTGGTTATATATTTATATGTATAAGACTAAAGAAGGGTTAAATGTTTGAAATAACGCAGATTCCTGTTGACATGGTGGTAAACTCAATAATTTCAGCGATGGCAGTGAATGCAAATCAATCTTCTATTGTCATTTACCATGTGGGATCCTCATTTAGAAATCCTATAAAAATAAATAGTATTCACGATTTTGTGTTTCGGCACTTCACCAAAGATCCGTGGGTTGACAAAGATGGAAACCTTGTTAAGGTTGGCAAGTGCACAATGTTCAGCACTATGGCTACTTTCCGGATGTACATGCAAATTTGCTTCATGATACCTTTGGAGGTTTGTTCTATCACTATATGTGATCATTTATAATATCAAACTTGCTATAGTTTTTTCTCTGTTCATTAATTTCCTTTGATTTATTCTTATTTGAAGGGATTAAAGTTCGTAAACATAGCATGTGGCCAATATTTCCAAGATGCATACGTTAACTATAGCCGAAAACTCAAATTGGTGATGCGCTTCGTAGAGCTATACAAACCGTATATGTTATTCAAGGGCATGTACGTATTCTCTACTTTTGTGATTAGAGATAGAGTTTTATCATTTAATTGTAATTATACAAAGGACGAAGCCAAAGTCAAGTCTGAAGTGAACTTCGCCCTCATTCCTTTTATAGCCCTTCCTAACATTGGGGAAGAAAAAAACATATGATACTATTTCACAATTAAACTAGTGACGGGCCTGATTTAAGATGATGAAGTCGTTTGTAGTTAAGTTTTAGATTTTGGCACCTCAATTATTAAAAATTCTAGCTCCGTCACTGATAACTAACGTGTTTTGATTGTAGCTTTGATGACACCAATTTGGAGGAGCTCCAAGAGGTGGCAAGTGAGAGTTACATAGATGCAAACATATTTAACTTTGATCCGAATTGCATTGATTGGGAAGACTACATTATGAATACTCACATCCATGGCCTCCGAAAGCATGTTATGGTTAAGTGATAGCCAGAAGAGTCGATAGATTGCCTTTAGATAATAAAATAATGTTTTTGTACGCATGCGTTATAAGTTTGCAATATACATGGAAACTAGCCAAATTCCTCAGCTAGAACAATTAATATATGGATGATTGTATCTGTAAACCATCATATTGGTCATTTATTTACAGAAACTTAAACCCACCTTTTCTATATATATGTCGTGCTTGGATCTTGTAGCATCCATATGTTGCTGGTGATTGAAAAAATCATTTTCAAATACTTAATTTGATAGGACATTTGTCAAAAATTATTTTATGTATCGTAACACTGCTGGCATGTGCATATTGATAATATATTGCACTGAATGTTTAGTGATACTTTTCTTCCCAAACATCAGGAGCATAGGACACTTTGATTGTTTCCACATAGCTAACTTCTCCTATCAAGGTTCAACTCCTCCCGCCCTAGTATTATGACAGCACAAATAGCTCATATAGTTTAGTGATACTTCTCTTCTCAATTTTAGAAAAGGTTACAAATACCTTGTTTTCCGTTTATATAAAAAAAAATTACAAATTGGTCAATGGTTGAAAATGGAAGTTCAAAATAAAAGCCAATGGGCCAAAATAAGCCAACCCCAACCGAAACCTTTGTTGATTCCTAGCATCAGATAAAAACGGGAGACTATTGGACTTGTAATTTGAAGCGGCCTAGGTTTGCGCTGCTTCCTATGTAACCATATCACTCTTGAAAATGATCTTTGATGTAAAATCAATGTTGACTAAAATTGAGAACATTGCTATGTTAAATTTCATATTAAAATCGTTCTTAAGTTTCCTACAATTCTTCGTTTTACTCCACATCCGAATATCCGATTTTTCATTTATTATAAAATTTCCTCATACCGTTAAAAAAAGGAAGATAAATACCTTGTTAAAAAGACAAACTTTATTTAACAACTTAATCCATATTATAACAAATTACATTTGGTGACAAACAATTGTTCATCATCATATTCATATTCATGAAAGCAAATACAATGCATAAACTTGATTGAAATTTATAATGCATCTAGGGAGCCATTGTATACTGCCTTGAGTAAATACAATGGCTAGAGCGCTCCAATTCACCCATTTCAAACCATATATATGTATATATTCAACAACCCAATTTTGGTAATCATTTGAAAACGTATTTGACAACCCCAGGAAGATGGATATTCATGAAGTAATCGTCCCAATTTATGCAGCTGGGATCAAAGTAAAACATGTCTGCCTCTGTGGTGTTTTCTCGCACTGCCATTTGCAACTTCAATGTGTTCATATCATCGAAGCTGCATTCAAGAGATTAGGTCATAGTTATAAATCAAAATTATATTTTCCAGCTTGGTAAAATGACATTAAGGACAAGATAAAGGAATCATATGTACATACACTCCTTTGAAAAACAAGTATGGTCTATAAAGTTCCACCAATCTCATCACAAATTTGATCTTTCGATTGAGATCCACATACGTGCCCTTGAAGTACTGGCAAAATGCTGTATTAACCACCTCCAATCCCTATTGTGGGAAAAAGAAATTGACAAAAAATACAATATCAAGATAGAATAAATAAAATTTTAGAGCTATATAGTAAAAGATAATAATGGGCATTTTATTGAGGATACGACTGCGTACGGTACGTGACATGCTCACATGGTACTACAAGTCCAACTAAAATATTATAGCATGTGCATATTTATTTATATCTAAACTCTAAACTCTAAATGGTGAACTTTATACTCGGTATGGATTTTAATCTATATAAACTAATAATACATACTAAATCAGCATGTCATGTCATGTCATGTTACGGGCAAAGTGGCACACATGCCATAATTGAAAAATTATTAGTGTATGTTTGGGGTGGCTAAACCAATTCTATATTATAAACATATTGGCAATGCATGGCTGTCTAAGTTGTGAAGCAAAATCTAGAAAAACTTTACCTTTAGTAATAGTAAGTAACGGATAGTCATGTATCGGTGAAAGGTAGTCATGCTTCCCATAATTGCGACCTTGCTAACTTTCACTGGAGTTCCATCTTTATTAATCCATGGCTTCTTGGTGAAGAAACGGAATCCATAATCCTGAAAATTGGAGTATTTTACAGGATTTCTCATAGAGGATCCCACTTGATAAATTACTTCACCAGGTTGATTTGCATGAGCAGCCATTGCCGCAATTATTGCATTCACCACCATGTCAGCAGGTACCTGCATCAAATCATTCTTTTTTTAAAACAATCCTTAAGAATATAATGAAAGAAATGCATTCATTAATTAGTTGCCTTCTTTCTGCGTGGATGTCAATCTGTGATTTTTTATATTTTATTTTTTTTAAGAAGCAAGTATGTATGTTTCCATTTTTATACGACGAGCATGATGCTTACCAAATGCATACTTGGAGATAAAAGGGTATGAATAATAATAATAATAATAATAATAATAATAATAATAAATTGAAGAACTGTTGGTTAACTCACCACGTCAGCAATTGCATTAATGTCGCAGAGAAAGAATGTTAATTTTCCTTTGCCATAACCAACTGCAAGGCTATCGATGGTTCTGCATGCGGTACAAAAATTAACAGATGAGAGCATCCGCAACAGTTCATTTCAGTTCGGTTCTACAGTTCAATTTATTGAATTTTTTTGGCAACTATTGAACTGAACTATAGTTTCACTTGCAGTGGTGCAGTTCAATAGCTTATAAATTAAAAACTAATGTTGTCCATGTGTCAGTAAGAGAGAGGTTGTAGAGTTATTATAGTGGGAAATGAATTTCATTTCAGAGTTCATTTTATTGACCTCTGAAATGAACTATTAATCCCTAAAATGAAATATTAATTTCTGAAATGAACTTAATTTTACCATTGCAAATCAAAAGTTCAATTTATTGAAATAAAATTGAAATGGCTCTCATCATTGTGGATGATAAAGAACTAATTAATTCATACTAATAAGGAAGGATTTTTCGAGTAACGCACCTGATTCCTTCAACCCAACCAGGAAAAGGTTCTTTGTAAGTGCTGGTGATGATGGTTGGCCGTAAAATGACCAGAGGTAGATTTTCTTTTAGGTCTCCTATAAGCATCTCGCCTATTGCCTTCGTAAATACATATGTGTTTGGCCATCCATAGATATTAGCTCTAACAAAATAATTTAAAAAACAATAGGATTTAGAATTTGTCACATCAACTTTCAGTGAGGGGATTCGAGATTGAAACCTCTTTTGACGTTGAAAAGAGAACACTAGGTATCTTGATTGATAGTTTGATTTCCACCAATAGGATAAAGAAAAAATAAATTAAAAATCATGAGTTTATGAGAGGGTACCTCATAAGCAGTGAGAGGTGTAACGCCCAATTAATGAGGGGCTCCCAAAACAGATACCCCTAAACATGAACTAGATTAATCGTTAAAAAGTTGACCCCTGATCATCAGTTAACTTCATGTGGGGCAATTGATGTATTTGTTTTTGGACTTATTTTCGTTTGCAACTTTTTTTCTTCTTCTGGGTTTCACTCTTGACACATAAGGTACGCAATCCATTAACAGTAACAGAGCCCTAGATACACTTGCGGTGGACACATTTTTTGGTGTCATTATCGGGAGGCATATAATTCTCGATCTCTCTTTTTATTTTTATAAGGAAAAGTTAGTTTTTTCTTAGAATATATATATATATATATATATATTATACATGCGATGTTCAGAAAAAGGGAAATCGAACCTAGAATCTCATATACAAGTAAATACTCTTAACCACTGGATCTATGAACTCCAGTAATTTTTTCTTATAGTTTTATAAATAAACGCTCTTAACTTTAAACTGGTCATGGCCCTTGTGGGTACACTCTTCATCCCTCTGACGCAAAGCACTAAATGCGCTATAAGGTAAGGGTTCTATCACCTAGGGGACCAGTTGTTGTAGGGTAAAACGAAAAAAACGAAAGGGTATGAACCAGTTTGGGGTATGGACCAGTGTTACTATCATTTATTAAGAAAAACAGACTTATGAAAACTACATTTTACTATGCTTTTAATTAGGTTTTTTAGTAGATTAAGACTGGTAAAGATTTATTGGTTCTGTCTTTGCAAATTATCGTTTTTGTCTTAATTGTTTCTTCTTGAACTTTCAAGGGAGAAACTTAAATTCATGGTGAGCTATATGTTCGTCATATGCTTAGCATAGACAACAGAAAAAAAAACAGAAAGAAATATGTGTGACCTTTGGAAAGTGAAGCACCAAACTCTGTCAGAAATGTTTTTATACTGGCCAGGACAATTTACTTGGTTGGTTTGTGTTTGTCTGATTAGGTTGAAGCTTTAATGTGTCTTAAGTTCATGTAATCTGTTTGGTTTATGTCTCAATCAAATTGCCGTAGACGCAATTCTGGTTAAAGTCCAACAAACTTCGTTTGTAGAGATTATTGGTCTCAGGTTCGAACATAATGGCACGTCTTCCAACCCCCTAAAATTTAATAAAAATAAAACAAAATAAATTAAAATATAACCATTTCCTATTCGATGGGACCTTTATGTGTTGAACTACATGAATTGATGCCTATTTGATGAGTAGATGGCATAGATGTAAATCTCACTTAACATAACTTTTCAACGCCATCTGATGTGCAAATAAGAAATTATCATGCCAGTTAGTCTAATATGTTGGCGTCCACGTCTAACAAAATTCATAAACAATTAAATGATAAGATATTCTCTCATTACGTCCAATTAGTTGGAAAAACGTTCAAGATCATTTTCCAAAAAATTAAATAAAGACCCTACCCATTCTAATCTTCGACCGTCAAATTTAAATAAATAAAATCGAACCAACTCAAGCCGACCTATTGAATCAGGAACATGATCGCTTTCATGTTGGACAAAGACTAGTCAGCTATAAGAACATCTTCGTGTATGGTACAAAAACTTTCAGTCTTGCCTATTATTTAAGGATGGCCCACCTAAAAGCACCCAAAAATAAAAGCTACTATCTACACACAAAAAAAGAAACATAAAAATTTGTAAGTTATGCTGAATTTCGAATGAAATGTTTACTAACATATAGAATGGGAGTGACTCTTATTCTTTCCACTCCCATTCAAGGTCATTCCGGATTTTATTTTTTATTTTTTTGGGTCGAAAAGGTCATTCCGGAGTTAATTAATAAACACTTTCAGAATCAAAATAAGAATGGAGCTTGCATAAAATCAACAATCGCACTCTTGATTTTTCAGGAGTAGGATTCCATGGTGAACGGATCGCTAGTAATCATGGGTGATCAGCAATCACTCTGACTCATGCTCACTTCGATTTCAAGTTAGTAAACATGTCATAAAGGGTTTGAGGATTTAAGTGCTCAAGAATTAATTATCCAATTATCTATATTTAACCCTCTAATAACAGCTGAACTAATTTTAACAGACAGAAGTAACAATTTTTACCAACCTTTTGAGGCCAAAATCTTTGAGGGCCGACGTGATTGCTTGTTCTGTTAATCCCTCCGCTCGAAGCTCTCTGAGTTTTTCCTGGACCTGCCTGATTTCACTATCGATATCAAGTCCTGAGGTCCCATTAAGCGTCTCACCCATGTGGTAAGGGTTTTCCAATAAAAGCCCGTCCTTCTCACCACAAACATAAGCTGAAATCATAACATGGAAATAAATCTACAATAAATTTCATTGTATTCTTTTTTTTAAAAAACCCTTGTTGTGTTCCCGTATTTACAGAAAGGAGCAGGACGTTCAGTGATAAGATCAAATTAAGACTAAAACATGGAAAAAAAAACAAATAAAATCAAAGTGATTTATATATATATATATATAGAGAGAGAGAGAGAGAGAGAGAGAGAGAGAGAGAGAGAGAGATAATGACCTGTGGATACGTGGACCAGCACCTTTAATTTAAAACATTGCTTAGCAAAGTTCAAAACATGCTTTGCTCCCAAAGTATTGATATCAAGTGCAACATCATATCTGCAGAATATATGTTCTATTTTAGTCTATTTCTCATAATTACTTCCCATAACCTAGTTCGCAATTTTCTTGCCATACAGATATTTATTCAATCTGTGAATCTAAACCACATGTTTTGACAAAAATTGACCTCGTCTTAAGGGCACCGAATCGCATTTGGACAAGAGTAGTTGCTCTTTATTTCAAATTCAGAAAACTGAGATTTAACAATCAATTACTACCTTTCATCAAAGTTGGTAGTTGCAGCTAAGTTCACAATGACATCTATCTGGCTCAACATCTCTTCTCTCAAGTTTGAATCTTTCAAGCCCAAGTCCTCATGAGAAATGTCCCCAGGCACCACTGTCAGCTTTTCTGAGACAATGGAGTTCATACCTGCTCCCCATTTTTCCCTCAACACTCTAAAAAGGTCCTTCCCAATTATCTACAATTACAAGTAACAAAAAGTGAACAAACTTGGAATAACAAAATCTTGACTTCCATTGTACTTCAAATTCATATTCCTTACTTTTTTTAGTGTAGTATTAAGGTGGGCATAAATGGCTAAATGTTGTGCCACTCTCGCCTATTTGGTATATGGAAAAAAGATATATACATGTTGAAGCTCACACTTATCCCTACATATATACCTCATTATGCAAACGCTGTGTGGCTGATTTTGTATCTGCAGCTCTTAATAGAAGATAGAGCTTCTTCACATTTGGTTGAACCCTCAGTATCTTCTCCACAAAAACTGCATCCATTTAAGCACATACATAGCTGACACTTACTACAACAAGAACAACAAAAACAACAACAAACAAAAAACAAAAATAAAAATAAAAAAACACCAGAGAGAGAGAGAGAGAGGGTTTAATTTGAGTAGTACTCTTTGCTAGAAAGCCAGTGGCACCAGTGACCAAAATGTTCTTGTTCTGAATGAACTGGAGTATGCTTTCCAACTCCATTGGAGAAAACTTAAATAATATCAGAGAGAAGGAAGGAGAGGAACAAAGAACTAAAGAGAGATGAACAATGGAAAAGTGTATATGCTCTCAGCCAGCTGATCAGCTGAAGCCTAGTGAGGCAATGGTCTGGGCACATTGTAGTATATACTGTAACATATGGGGCAACTATGAGGTAGAGTGCACTCAAGTAGTTGACAGTTGTTTTGCTTGGTAGACTCATTTAAAACGAGGTTTAATTGCTTGACTTATTTTATTTTTCTACAAAATTAAAAACAAATACCAAAAATCCCACATCACCTTTTATTTTTTCTTGTTTTTTATTTTTTTTGCCCCCTCCAATTATGGCTACATACATACGTACACTCCCATTATTTGGTGAACTTTGCTTAGTATTTTGAAGGGGAGGATCATCTACTACACTATAACTCAATAAAAAAGGAAAATTGTGGGTCACATATTGGAATTAGCAAAAGTTCTGGTTTAACAGTTAGATATGTCCAATACCCCCCAACCTACCCTCTTCTGCAAATATTAAAGCTTCGGTGCTAGATTTGTCGTCGTCGCCATGACATATGCCTAGCTAACATTTTTTTATTGTTTTCTTTGTTAGATCACTAATTAAAGACTCACGAGGCCAGAGCTTGAAGACTTGAGTACTGTTTGTAGGACCATATGCCAACCCAACTGTCCCGCTTGGACGTCTAATCTATTGATGGCACTTGTTATATCAACTATTGGTTTATAAACTTTATATAAGGAATATGCTAGGTTTACTATATTTTTATATCAAGAATTATTCTATAGTTAACGCATTATCTATGACCTTTATGTGAAATCTTATCTTTTCACTGTTAGATCAAGTTAATCAATTTAATCCAACGATTGAAAGATAGGGTATCACCTAAGGGCCATATATAAAGCTCTCACTAATAAAGGTGGACCTCATTGTATTGGTGGACTCCACATTTATTAAAGAGCCGGTACACCATGTGGTATAAAAAAAATGATGAGTTGAGCATTTGGTATCTTCTTTTTCAACATATTCAAATTGATCTTAAGTTTGAATCTCCATTTTTCTTATTGATTAAAAAGAAGATATGTGCACTTCTATATATCATGGGTTGTTGGTCTTAGGGTTTCCCATACCTATTTTATATGGTATCATAACATGGCAAAACCCTAGCACTCAATTTAAGTCGTCCACCACCAAAATCTTCTTCCGCTGCCATAACCTTCCATACTAGCCGCTGGACTATGGGCAAAGACGACCAAGAATCAAACTCGTCTGGAAGCAAGCACGATGCTTCCGACCCCTTCTTTATCCACCATTCCAATCACCCATGAATGGTCCTTGCTTCCAAGCCACTCAATGGAAACAACTACGCGACGTGATGTCGCTCCATGCCCATCTCCCTAAATGCGAAAAATAAATTAGGATTTGTATTTGGTATTGTCATATCTCCCTTAGCAACCGCTAATCTTGATGGTTTTTAGCTTTGGGAACAATGTAAGGATATGGTTGTGTCGTGGAACCTCAACTCCATTGACTCACACATCGCCTAGATTGTGCTTTACTCCACTACTGCTCGTGAAGTCTAGGAAGACCTTAAGGTCCGTTTTTCTCAAATTAACGCTCCCCGGATTTTTGAATTGCAAAGAGATATTGGCTCCTTCTTGCCATATCAATTATCTGTATTAGCATATTATACCAAATTGAAGGCTCTGTGGGATGAGATGTCTTCTTAGGGCCAATTTGGCATTATTGTGCTGTGAAAATAATCGCCATCAGATTTGCTGTGAGAGAAAGCATTTTGGCATTTGGCATTAGCTATTTTCCCTTATAGCTTTCTCTCATAGCAATTTTTAAACAATAAATGATTTTCTCATGGTTTACCAAACGGGCTGGGCTTCTCAAAATTTTTTAAAAATCACTTATCACCCCAATTAAGAAATGCCAAAAAGGCATTTACAATGATATCTTTTCTTGCTCATGCAGCTCCATGAAGAAGAGTCAAGAACAAGATGATAGCATCTCTTTAATGCAATTTCTTATGGGTTTCAATGAGTCCTATAGTGCCGTTCAAGGTCAGATTCTACTTATGTAGCCGTTACCCACCGTCCTTCAAGCCTACTCCATGATCACGCAAGAGGAGAAGCAAAGAACATTAGGCACAAACTAATCTTCCAATGAACTAGCAGCCATGGCGATTCGTGTCAATCGTTTGAGTGCTTCGAACAATTCTGAGAGAAAACCTCTTCATTATACCCATTGTGATATGGACCACCATACCATTGATATCTGCCACCAATTGCACGGCTACCCTCTAGGCACAGATTTCACAAGCTTGGTTCAACTTCCGGTCAGAACTTCAGCAAAGCTTCTTGAAAATGGGGTGGTCGTAGTGCTGCCAATCATGCTACTTCTAGTTGTGGTCCTTCTTTGCAAGATATTCAAGCTGCCATCCCCTACTTGTTCGAAGACCAATGCAAGAAAATTCACTCGATGGTGAGTGAGAATTCTGACTCATGCCAAGGAGCACCACAAGCCCATGTTGCTGCTCCAACCAAACTTCAAGTATTTCTAAAGTGTTACCAGATTTATGTTAGATTATTAACAACAGTGCTACCGACTACATCACGTTGAATTCAAATTTATTCGACAAAAAGGTTTCCAATCCTTCTATTTTGCCAATCACTTTACCTAGTAGAGAATCGACACCTATTACTTCCACCGAAACACCATCTCTCAACTCTTATCTTTATTTGCGAGATGTGTTGTATGTGCCTACATTTCAAGTTAAACTCATGTCTATCAAATGTCTTACAAGAGGATTACAGTGCTCAGTGACTTTTTTTTCCCTTCTTGGTGTATTTTGTAGGATTTGAAGACGAGGACGACGATTCGTTTGGGTAAGAAACGTGATGGACTTTATTACCTTGTGGCATTAGCGACCGACATAGCACCATCCCATAATCAACCTTCCTATCACCTAATCACCCAATCCGCAAAAATATGACACCGTCGCCTTGGGCAAATTTCCTCTTCTCGCTTTCAACTTTTAGATAAGCATTTGGATTGTTTGTTTAGTCTAAATCATGTTTGTGATGCTTGTCATTTTGCAAAACAAACTCATCTTCCTTTTGCCATTAATTCTATTTCAACTAAGAGACCTTTTTACCTTATTCATTGTGATATTTGGGGGCCTCACAAAGTTAGTTCAATAAATGGGGCTCGTTTTTTTGTTAACCATCGTTGTTATCATTCTTGATTTACTTGGGTTTTTCTTATGCATCATAAACATGAAACACAAGGGATTATAAAGTCTTTCTTTTATATGGTTCATACACAATTCAATGCTCGCATTCAATCCATCTGTGTGGACAATGGGGGAGAGTTCTTTTCCTTGCGAGAGTTTTTTAGGGAGCATGGTACCATTTACCAACATACTTGTATTTACACACCGCAACAAAATGGTGTTGTAGAATGCAAGCATCACCATGTCTTTGAGACTGCTGGGGCTTTAAGGTTTCAAGCTCACTTACCACTTTATTTTTAGGGAAAATGTGTCCTCACAGCCGTCCACATTATCAACTGGCTCCCTACCTTGCTCCTTTTCAAAAAGCAATATAGTAATCCACCCTCCTACTCCTATCTCAGGGTCTTCGGTTGCCTTCCTTATGCCACTAATGTTCACCTTACTAGGAAATTTGATCCAGGAGCTTTTAAAACCATTTTTCTCAGATACGTAGATGGTCAAAAGGTGTATCAACTATATGATCTTTCCGCCCAAAAATGTTTTACAAGTAGAGATGTCTTGTTTGAGGAAACCATTTTTCCTTTTTCATCCAACGGTGCAGGTCCTATCACCAATCCAGATTCTAGCCTACTGACCCCTTGTACTACTGATATTACATATAGGTCTTCCCCTTTTATGGCCCATGAACCAGAACCATCACCGACTTCCAATCCACTTTAGCCTTCCATTCCACTCGAGCGTGCAGAAATACCCTACCGCCCACCTTCTTCACCAGCCCTAATGCCACCTAACCCATCCGAACCTATCACATAACAGGTTCCTTCACTAGCTCCAATACCGCCAACCCTCCAGTCGGACCACCCCAAGGTTCCTAATGTGCGCCTCCGAGACTATGTCTGTTCCTAAGTCACGCTGCCCAAATCTCCACACTCGTTTGTCTTCAGATCTCATTAAAAGTACTCGCTATCTCTTGCGTAATTATATTTCATATCACCTGTACACTCCTGCACACTTTGCTTTTATTACAAATCTCAGTCGAAGTGTGGAACCCATTACTTATGCTGCGGCAACTTCTAATCCTAATTAGCGCTAGGCCATGTCTTCTAAACTTGATGCTTTGGAGTCTAATAATACTTGGACTCTCACGCCTCTTCCTACTAGAAAGCATCCCATTGGTTGTCGTTGGGTCTACAAAATTAAACATAATTGATGGTTCTATTGAGCGGTATAAAGCACGTCTCGTAGTTAAGGGCTACACTCAGATTGAAGGGGTCGATTTCCATGATACATTTTCTCCCACAGCCAAGATGATCATTGTTCGTTGTCTTCTTGCTATTGCTGCTGCCCACTCTTGGACTCTTCACCAGATGGATGTTCACAATGCATTCATTCATGGCGATCTCCATGAAGAAATTTATATGATTCCGCTGCTAGGTCTTCAGCGCCAGGGGGAGAACCTAGTATGTCTCCTCAACAAGTCTTTGTATGGTCTCAAACAGACTTCTGGACAGTGGTTTGCCAAGTTTGCGGAAGCCATCCAAGCTGCCAGTTTCAAGTCTAAAGCCGACTATTCTTTATTCACCTACAAATGAGGGAAGTCTTTTATTGCTCTCTTGATTTATGTTGATAAGGAAATAATTTGGCTGCCATCAATTCCCTTAAACATTTCCTACATACCCGTTTTCGCATCAAGGATCTTGAGGACCTTAAGTTCTTTTTGGGTATTGAAGTGTCACGTTCTAAGAAAGGAATCAGTCTTTCTAAGAGAAAATACAATCTTGATATTCTTAAAGATGGTGGTCATCTTGTTGTTCGCCCTATTTCTTTTCCCATGGAACAGAATCTCAAATTATCATATACAAGTGAATTGCTTAAGGACCCAGCTAAATATAAAAAGGTTGGTGGGTCATTTAATTTATTTAACAATCACAAGACCTGACATTACATATGCAGTGGCGCTACGTATCTTGAAATACCTTAAAAATACTCTAGGACAAGGTTTATTTTTCCCTGCTCAGAATAGTTTGACGCTACAAGCCTACTGTGATTCTGACTAGGTAGGATGTCCAATGACTAGGAGATCCACCACTAGTTATTGTGTTTTTCTTGGGAGCTCTCTAATTTCTTGGAGAACCAAGCGACAAAAGATTGTTTTGCTTTCGTTTGCGGAAGCCGAATACAGAGCTATGACGGGTACTTGTTCTGAATTGAGACTTGGCTACGTTACTACGAGATCTACTCTTTCCGCATCCTGACCCGGCCATTCTTCATTGCGATAACAAAGCAACTCTACATATATCAGCCAATCCTATCTTTCATGAACGAACTCGACGGATCGAAATGGACTGCCATTTCGTCAGAGACAAAGTCCAAGACGAATCAATTATCACGCAACATGTTTCTGTTTGGGCCTAAAAATTAACACACCCAGCCCAGCGAAAATGAGGCCCAGAGTAAGGTTGCAAAAAAATCAAAGCAATTTGGTCTTCGAGAAACAGGAAATTAGAAGCCCAAAATCTAGAAAAGCCCAGCCCAAAGCCTGGGCCTCACAGGCCTGTTGTGATAAAAAGGGGAAGCCCATAGACAGGAAACAATCCCACGTGACATCTCTGGGATAAAGAAAAGTCAACAATGGCAACTGTCATGAAAGAAGTGATTGAAAAGTTTATGTCATCAAGCTGTTCTGAAAAAACCCTGAAAAAATCTGAAGATCAAAATCCCTCTTACATATATATATATATATATATTCAGAGATTTTTCTTCTATTTTACAGAGAGGGTAATTCTCCCAATGAGATAAGCAAGCTACAAACTCAGAGAGAGATAAGCAGGAAAGCAGGGAGCTGTCTAGAAAAGAAATCAAACTAACCATCACGGATGAAATCTCACAAGGGGCAGTTGAAATTGAGAGGAGAGATTAGGTTCTTTTTCAAGAAAAACAGGGAAGTGATTGCCTATTTTGAAAGCCTATCTGCCAAACTGATAAAATCCTACTTTCTTTCTTTCCATTTAAAAAGAGAAAAAAAGGGGGAGAGATATCTTTTGAAAAGATTTGCCGCCCATTATTATTTTTACTATAAATACAAGGAGGAGTGAACAGGGTAACAGACAACAAAAAATTCATCATCCAATCAAACAAAGATCTTACACAAGGAAACCGTCAAATAGACAGCTCAAAATCAACCAACAAGCCCACTTTAGTGAAACCAGATTCAGATCAGAATTCCCAAGGTCCAGACTTAAGAAGCAAGTTATTCAAAACGAGATTTCTCTCGTTACAAATTTGGTTCAGCAAAAACCAAGACAGGTAGAGCTTGAGCTTCCTCCAAATATGGAAAACCTCAACAAAATTCACAGTGCAGTCTCTAGCCCACTGAAGCCCTCGAAAAACAGTCACTCCTGCCCGTGCAGACTGAGAAAACTGCAGTTCTGCCCACTCAAAAGCTTCACAAAAGCATGAGGCACGTTGAAGCTCTGTCATAATCAACCTTTGGTATCGATTTACAGTTGAAGCCTAGCAGTCAAAGTTGTCAACGGTCCAGTCCAGCCCAGGCATTTCCAGTCCAGCCCAGATCAGAACCTTCCATCTCGACAGAAATGAAGTCCCAGCTGTCTCTTCACCTCTCTCTAGCATAAGCATTCATTGTTATATTTTTGTAAAAGGCAGTTCCGCCTAAAAAACAGTTTAAATCCCATCAACCATTCTGACCAGGACAACCTCTTTATACTGAGATAAATTGTTAAAGTCTTTACCAGTCTGAGGCAGGAAAAGAACTTACTTGGGAGATATTCCTCACCCAAATTCACAATCGCTTGTTTGCAGAAATCAGTAACTTGGGACGCAAGTTATCCATTCCAAACTAAGTCTGCTAAAATTTTTTACTAGCAGTGGCACGCTCGCACACCAAAGAAAGCTGACTTGTTGACCAGTTTATGGTTCTCTAGGCAGTGGGGAACTTTGCCCTTCCATCATAGGAGTAAACGCAAAACGGGTGAACAGTTTCTTCTTCTCAACAGCTGGCTTTAGTTTTCACAAACCTTTGGGCAAAGATGCTTTCATGAGTATAATAGGCAAGTTGGGAGTTCTTGAATAGGAATGTTATTTCTATTGATTATAGCTGTATATTTTCTTATCTAAATAGGATAGCTTAATTCTTGTATTCTTGTATAAAGTCAGCTTCTATGCTAAATGAAAATCATTCTGGTCCAATATCTTCCCATACCGATTTTACAAAGCTCGGCGAGTTGATGATTCCAGCATAACAGAACCACCGGCCCAGTCTAGTGTTGGAGACGAAGACCATGAATCTGCAAAAGATGTATCTGGGTCATCCACTTCCCCAACAGTTTTGAAATCGCAACACCAAATACAAAAGTAAAAAAAGGAAGCAAGTTCCCTCTCTCTATCTCTCCCTCGCTAAAGCATTTGTTAATAGATTTTATTTTATTATTTAGTATTTATTTTTTTTTTTTTTTTTTTTTTTTTTTTTTTTGTTTTTTTTTTTTATTTTATTTAAAAGTAAAAATTTACCTTTATTAATAACAGAAAATTGGATGAAATTTGAAAAAACTTAACGGCAATGATTAAATTGGCTGTTTTAATGAGTTCAAAGTGCTAAATTGGCTGACTTTTTAGTTCGGAGGATTAAGTTCGATTAAGTTTGATTAGGTTCAAGTTTGATTAGAATCATAGTTCGGGACTCAAATGACACTTTACTCGTTTTCTAAACAACTATCATTTGGTTTGCCCATATTTTCACATCGATCGAATTTTTTTTCCTTTTCAGGTTTTGTTCAAATGGGAACTTTGTGACAAAACAGAAGATAAAAAATGGCCACAAAATGGTGTTTTAGCTTCTTGCTATAGCTAGTAGGTGTGCTTATCTATTATTATTGTCCTTAAAACCAAGATTTCTTCTATGGGTATTGCCAAAAGAGTCCTCTACAGTTGGTACATGCAAGGTTTGTATTCAATAGCAGTGGGAAAGATGGATATGCCCGTATACCAATTTATTATGATAGATGGTTTAATTATGTTGAAGAATGTAAAAGTTCCACGTCGAAAATTTGACAAACTAAAATACAATATAAATTGAGTGATTCCACTATTAATAGTATCGAGATCTTTGGTATAAAATGCTACACATGTCAAACAAACAATGCAATGAATAAATTGAGGACAAAACTATTATGCATGCAATTTACAGTCAATTGATTAAGAATGATTAATTATCTCAGCCACTCAAGAACTTTCCACCAATCGGCTGATGTTTCATATAGTTGGAGTTTATTGATCTATAATTGTCATAATTAGCTACGTAGTAATCAAGTAGACGCTTTAAGTTTTCGGTAGGTGGGGAAAGTTTGGCCCTTATGGTCACCCCCAATGACCAGTGTCATTCATATCCACCGTACGTTCCACCTTCCCCTTGTGAAAACTGGATTTTAATAACATTGCTTTGTGTTATTATTCATGGAAATCAAGATCAAGTCCCTACGTTTGCATTTAAGATCTTGTTGGCAGGTACAACAAAGAAATTCCATGAGAAGGATATAATATATCATATCATAAAGATCTGCACAGGTTGCTGACTTTGGCTCGGCCAGTTGCCCAAAGTAATAAGCATGTCCTCTTGCACCAAAGTTCAAATCTTCCTTCCTATAAATAAAATTAATCTAGAGTTGTTTAGATTATAGTTTGTATGAATAAATAAAAAAATGCCCTCCACAAGCCTTGCTCACATTATAATGTACAATATTTGAATGAGTATATTAATCAACAATTGTTGTCCTGTACATACTTGAGCAAGGGTTGTCAACATTATTGAAAAATTTGTTTGCTTGACAAACTTCTTTGGATTTGGACAACCGGCACAAGCTATCTGCAAATCACATGTTAGGTAAATTCAAATATTTTGCATACACGAGAGGTCGAACTTGGTTTTTTTTTATTTTTTTTTATATATGCACTTTTAAGATGATGTTAGTATACAATAAGAAAAAGTTGTGAATAAATTTAGAACCTTCATAATTACTCTTTTTCTCTTGGAAAGGAAACAAGGAAAATATTATGAATTTAAGAAATCTATTTTTTGAAGACTGAAAAAACATTACAAGTTAGATCCCGTTGGGATCTTAATACCATACAAGTCCCCTTGAAGTCTAGACATTAGATCCAAAGAAAAATTACTAAACGTATTACATGAATGATGGTAATGATATCCCTTTTTTGGTAAAAGATCCGCCGCCACGTTAGATTCTTGACAAATGTGAGTAATCTAGATATGAGAGAATTTGATGCAACGGCACTCAAGCAAAGGTGTTGAAAACACAAACCACAAACCACCAAGTCCCGTTTAGAACACGATACGCTCAAACTTGTTGATTCTAAGAATACCCAAATTGTGAGCATAAGATAGAGAAAACTCTCTTTAATTTCAATTTCAATTTTCAACAACTACTACTGATTTGAAAGGAACATTATGCTAGTTCTTGTCATGTAATATTCCCTTTGATTTAATGAAATACAATCTTTTCTAAACAACAACCGCTCATTTGACAAGTCTATGCATACAAGTATTTAAATTCTTAAT